TGCATGCCGCTAGAAATAGTGGGATATGTGAGCTATACGCTGACGATGACCAGGTGGTGCGAGATCGAACCAAGGGGAATTGCACTTACTGCGGAGTGTTCAGACGACAGCGCTTGACCGGGGGTGCTGCCAAGTTAGGCATTGGACATGTTGTCACTGGACATAACGCGGACGATGTTGCCGAGACGATTGTGATGAATCTATTACGAGGTGATCTTCCTCGACTAGCGCGTTCGACGAATATTGTGACAGAGTCGTCGGCAAGTGATATCAAACGGAGCAAACCGCTCAAATATGCGTATGAGAAGGAAATAGTCCTGTATGCCCACTATCAGAAATTGTGTTATTTTAGTACTGAATGCATCTATTCACCGGAGGCTTTTCGAGGGAGTGCGAGGACACTGATAAAGGATCTCGAGAAAGTGCGCCCGAGCTCTATATTGGATATAGTCAGGAGCGGGGAAGACATGGCGAGTTTGGTACCTCTGGAAATAAGTAGGTCTAGCAAATTGCTCACCCGTACATTTGCCGTGACCATGGGGGGAGGGACAGAGCGCTATGCCGCTGGCGGGTGCGGTAGCCAACGGGGAGGGATAAATGTTGGAGAAATGGCAGAGATGGAAAAAGAAGTGGCGGGAAATCAGATTGCCAATGTTGATGAAACGGAGATTTTGCCGTATAGGAAGCTTCAAGGCACTACAGGTTCGGGTCAACCGTGGATGAAACTTCAAACGATGCGCCAATGCGAGAGATGTGGTTATATGGCCAGTCAGAGGATCTGCAAAGCTTGCATGTTGCTTGAGGGACTGAACAAGAACCGTCCGAAAACCACGATTGAAATGGCTGCTGACATAGATGAGGAAGAAAGCAGTTTGACACTTATGAGGCAGATGGATGGTGTTCAATTAGCGAATGGAAAGTAGCACAGGTTTTCATTTTTCAAGCCTTGAATACATTGCATTAAGTCATTTCTAATCAGCCATTGTAACGGGCGTACTACTGATTAATGGACTAAGCATTATCCTGCTTATAGATTAAGAAGGAAAAAGGAAAAGAAACCAGAAGAAAAGATTGTGTGAAGGGGATTCTGTAAGCAGTGGCTCAAGGGTCTCGTTGCTTATCTAGAGGAGGTTCTTAGGACTCTACGAGGATCAAGCTATGTAAGGTAACACAGCGTTATATCAGAAGATATTCAGATAGAAGGATCAAATATTGAGGCAGTAGAATGTATGAGTCAGATTATATCAGAATGATTCACCAGCTCTCGGAAGGTGAAGCCTGCTGCTGGCTATTAAACAGAGCGAAGCGAAGTCTTTAAGCATCATACAAAGCTCCGGGGCCCTGTTCAATATCCAATCAATCGCTGTGAAAATAAACTTCACCATTCAGTTACCCATTTGTCAATCGATACCAGCTTATTAGCTGACTATCTGCCTGCCTAACCTTCTTGAATAAATGACATCCGATAATGATATCTATCGATGATATCTAGCAATGATATATAACCATGATGATATATACCGATAATAACTGCGATGATATATACCGATGATGATATCTGTGATGACATTGTTGAATGGCAATATAATAAATGTTACAAGCCGCAATCGCTTGCTTGTACTCACTTAGTCAGCTTGAAAATGTGCTGTTTGATCCCTCAAACAAATGTAATGAGATATATAACAGCTGCATATAATTTTTATAAATAAATTCCATGTAATCTACAGCTATTAATAGAGAATAATTATATAGAGAATAATTATATAGAGAATAATTATATAGATAAAAAAGATGAATAACACTGTAATAATGTTGTAAAGTTAATATAGAAATATTAAATGAAATGTAATTAAATATCAGATAATTTATATAAAAAATGTATGTATGTATATATGTATGTATAAATTTAACATATCAGAAAAGATGCAGACAGTGTCTGTGTCGGAACTGGATAATGTCCGAATATTGACCCAAATACTGAATATCAAAATAGAAAAAATAGAATATTGAATTGATTATTGTTTTTTTTTTTATTATTCTGATAATTACATGATAAGTAGGCAGTATTTATAAGGAAGGATATGCTTGATTATACAAGCGGGGCAGTGCTCTAATGCGCAGCAAGGCAATTTCGAAGAAGGCGAAGCAAAATAGGCAACAAGGCAGATTATAGCATGATGTCATCTCTGATCCTTGATATACGAGATATCAGCTCCGACAGTTTGTGCTTCAGAGATCTTTTGAAAAATATAAAAATATATTATACTGAAGAGATTTTTATGTACAGTGTTATTTAATAAATTAATGTATTAGAGACTTGACACTGAGCTTTAACACTTTATCCATCTCAACTTGATATTAAATAAAATCTTAACCAGGTATTCAATATAAAATTATATATATATTTTATATAGCTAAATTAATAAAGAATATTTATATATATTGTCTTCTTTAATATTTGATTGATTCATCTTTAACTTTGATAACTGCAGTTAATCTTTGAAATATGAAGTTGATTAGATGCTGTATTTCAAATTATATAATAAAATCTCATATCATCTGTAATTCTATTCTCATCTCAACTTCAGAATGTATTCAATGTTGTATTTTTAATATACAAAACTTGATTATTATTCATAAATTTTATAAAATTTAAATCAGAATTTTATATAAATCTGTGATGAGTTAACATCTGTTAATAATTATGTGCAATTATGCTACCGAGTCTCTAACTCAGCAAGCTTCTCACTGGGTATAAGGTAAGGTCGGGGCTTATATAGTGTTGCTGAGCTTGTTCACTGAGTCAGGA